GGGGGGGGGGCAGCAGAACAGGGCTGCAGAGGGCCAGCGTGGGCTTCAGCACAGGACCGAAGTGGAGGGAACTTTCCACCGGGAACAGAGGGTCAGAATCACAGGAATGTTGCTGACGCCAGACCACGAGTTGCGGAGCACACGGGGGGCCGGGGGGGGCCCCTGAGCAGCACAGACTTCCGGGGCGCAGACAGCTAAGTAAGAGGAGGGGCAGAGTGGGGCCAGCGCAGGGGTGTCGTGGGGCAGGCTCCACGGACAGCCAGGGCAGCGGGGGCGGCGGGGAGGGGGCGGCGGGGAAGCCGGTGGTCTGGGGGCCGGGTGCCCGGGGCTCTGTGGCTCCCCTTGAATCGGGCTGAGGGCGGTGCCGGGTGGAGAGCAGCCCCGGCGGGCTGCGTGTCCCACCCCCAGGTGGGGGGGCAGGCCGCGAGGGGGACTGCCCCAGCCGTGCCGTGGGGACCTGTGTTGAGGGTGCTGGGCTGCCGTGAGACCGGAGAGCTGGGGGCCTCTCCCTGCGGCTCCCGCCAATCCCATTCTCTCCTCCTAGCACTGAGCCCCGAAAGCCTCTTGGTCTCCCTCCCGTGTTAGGGAGCGGAGTGTGGAGGCGAAGGCAAGGCCACACAGCCATGAGCGGGGTTGCACCAGACCTCACATGCCAGGTGGCCGTCGGGGTGCCTCTCCCCTAAGCAGTGCGGGGAGGGTGGCAGGCGGGCCCCAGTGACCTGCTCCCAGGGAGTGGGGGGCAGTGCCAAGGGGAGAGGAAGTAGCTCCAGGCCTGGGTTCGGTGAAAAGGTGATGTTTTATTATATAAAAATCTCCCCCCCGCCCCCACGGCTGCACAAGCAGGTGGATCTGTGGCCAACTCTCCGGAAGGACAGCCCTGCGTTCTCTGAGGGCCGCCTGGCCTGCGCGGCGGCGTGGCCGGAGTCCGTGGCCGTGGCCGGGGCCGGGCGGGGGCCCTCACTGGGGGAGGCCCTGCGGCGGGGTGGGCCCTGAGGCGCCCTGCATGTCGGGAGGCCCAGTGTCGTAGCCCAGCTTCCTCATGTCCTTGGTCACCACGTTGAAGAGGAGAGTGACAAAGCCCTGCGAGCGGACTCGGGTCACTGGGAAGAGAAGGGCAGCGTCAGGCAGGCTGGCTGCTCTGGGAATAATGTCTCCGCCCCGGCAGTCTCTCCTGTAAAGTGGGAACAACTGGGAGGTCCGGGGGCGGCACCAGGGACAGACGGCCATGGCAGATCCTCCCACCAGGCCCGGGTGGGAGCGGCGCTCGGGGGAGAGGCCTGGGGCTGCCCCGCCGTCCATCTGTGTGCCTGGCAGGTGCCTGGCTTCCACCGTGTTTGCTGGGGGTCCGCCTAGTCCCTCCCGGGCTCCGGCTTGCCTGTGGGGGGTGGGGTTGGGGGGATCAGGCTTTACCTTCCCGGCCTTCACCCTGAGCCACCACCTTGGGGTCTGTGTACTCGGGCCGC